CTTGAAATCCTAATAGATACATTTAGGCTGATTCTTTTTTACAGGAACCACAAAAATGTACACCATGACAAACGATTACGCCTGCCGCTACCTCAAATTTATGGCCATAATCTCCACCTAGCTCAACCAGTGGTGGCGCCAACGAGGAGGTTCAGAGGTATTTGTCCTCCCGTCGGAGAGGGCTGCACCCCCTGTCGTCCGACGCCACGACTAAGTCGTAGGATCAAAAATAAAAATTAAAAAAAACCAATAATAATTTGCCTATCCAAATAACGTTATTTTGATTGCTAATCCCTAATATATTTACTAAGCCATAAAAATTCTACTCGTGAACCCTACCACGGATTGTTTTTTTTTTCCGGGCCGTCGACCGAGGCTCTCGTCGGCCCCCTGGTTCGGACCCCTCCTGGTTCGAACCCCTTGTTGGCAAATTTCTAGCAATACAGCTGAGCTCAAGGCAAAACAAGAGGAGTCTCCTCTTCGGGTGACATTTCGTCAGCGAAACCACGAAGTGACACAAACCATATTATGTTTTTTCTGGTTTTTTTTTCTTTCACATTTTGATTATGTACATCGAACTCAACCTTTCACATAACTGTAAAGTGTAACTACACTATTTAGTTAGACTAATTAGCCATTGCGCAAAAACAGACACAAACTTTCAGTGGGTTATCAGAAGACGTGCGTGCGGCGCAAAGGCGTCGATCCGTGGTTGAAAGTGGTTGGGGGCCAGGGGATGCCTAGGCCCGGTGAGGGTCCAGGGGGCTAAGATAGCTCTAGCGCCTATAGCCTTTTATAAGTCGTATACATTTTAAGGAATGCAATTAACATTTATTTCCACACTAAATTTACAGTGGCGAATCCAGGAATTTGAAGTAGAGCTGGGCCAGGGAGGGAGTTTTACATACGGCGAGTGTAAACCACCTCAGCCCCACCATGGTTGGGGCTGATGAGATAAGAACATTTATGAATATGGCACTTAGTAGTAGTAGTAAAAACATTAGGGAGGGTGGGCCGGCTGGGCCCCTTGAATCTTTCACTGAAATACTTATTATAAAAAGTTGTTAAAAATATAATGGTAATCATAATTCGGCCTATGCCCGCTTATATTTATTCGTGCAAACTAGGCCTAACATTCACTAAAAAATGATTTATTATCTACTGATTAGCTTGTGACGTATTCGAACCATGAAAAACAAATAAGATAAAATTAAAACAGTCATTAATTTAGACTTTGCATGTACAGTACTTTAAAATAAATCAAGAAGGTTTTCCTTTTCTCCTCTTTTTGAATTTTACTTTTTGTGCAAGCAGATATTACGACTACACTATTGTGAGTGGAAATACTACCGTCTAATTTACGATCAAGTAGGACTAGGAAGATAGGAAGCACACAAAACATTAATTAACATTTTGATTTCACAAACATAAAGCTGATTTACTAATATATTTTTATCAGTGGCGGCTCCAGGAAAGCCAAATAGAGGGGAGACAGCAAAATTTGAGAAACTAGATCACCTCAGCCCCACCATGGTTGGGGCTGACGTAAGAAAATTTATGATCATGACACCTCTAGATGGCCGGAATTGGCACTCTCAGACCTAAATTCAATTATTATTTTCCTTTTTTCCTCATTTTTTATAATTTTGAAAAATCTAGGGGGGAGAGGGGTCGACTCGGCCCCACTTGAATACGCCACTGATTATTATGACGTCATTGCGAGATTGCGTCAACGTAACACTGGAGTTAAATAAATCGAAATAGACATGGCCGTATTAATGGTTGTATAATTATTGTTTAATAACGGCTATATAAAATTCAATTGAACAACTAGGGCCTATAATTTTTGAGAAACATTAATCTATGTATGCAGATAATATTAAACACATATACGTACGGGTCATAATAATACACAAAAGGAATAAATCGTTTATAGTAAAAATTGAGCACTTTTGAGTTTGTAAAAATATTGGCCCATAAGTTTACACGCTTCCAATTTTAACAAAGTACAGTACATAAATTCAGCCTCTGATAACCGTTGCACCCATAAAATCGATGTAGTGGTTACTGAGATTGCTACGAAATGTACAAATAATTGCGTTTTTACTCGGTCTTTTGGTCTGGAAATACGCACTGCACTTTGAAAAGTGAACAGACAAAATTCATGACAGTCATACGTAACTGTTATTCTTTCCATTCGCTTTGAAATGTGGGGTTTTAATTATAGAAGACTGGTGAAAAGTGGGGGGGGGGAGGGCAATTGACATGATGTCCACCTACTTTGAAAAGTAGGTGGGCATCATGGTGCGGCGTTAAATATTATTGTTTAAGCAGGATAAACCTAGTTTGTAGGCCCGGTATATAATCACCCTTGACTAAATCAAGTCAAGCGCGTACAGTGCGTAAAATTGCATGAAGAGACACAAACTTCGCTGTACGTGTAAGCAACCTATGCTGGGATTATTTCTATCGTTTTTAAGAACAGACACAAACTTTTCACGCTAATTAACAGGTTAATTAAAGTTAAGAAAAGAAAAAATAAATTTAACATTTTAATTGTTTAATGCTTTATCTTTAAACATGTAAACAAAATTATTTAAATTTTCAATATCTTGATAGTGAAATTTACGGATTTGTGAAGTAGTCTACTTCAAACCAAGGTAATTCAACAAAAGGACGCACATCTCGGGACATCAAAGGTTATAACTCTCTCGCGGTAAAAAAAAATCAAATGTAACAGACATTGCGAAGTACCCAAAATTAATAAAATAAAAACTAACACCATAAAACGAATGGCACGCATAGACTAATAATTGACGGCTGTACTCGCAACTAGTATCGGTTTGTCGATGCCACAGTAAAGATCAAAGGACTGTACGCACGCGCTATGTTCGAGAGCGAAGATGTGAGTCCTTTTGTTGAATTACCTTGTTCAAACGTGCATTTCTCAAAAAGTTGTTTTGGTCGAAATGGAAGCACGGACTTAAAATTGAAGTTTTCACGAAGTCTTCGTGAAAACAATTCCGTTTGAACACTTCTTTATTTAAATTCACAAGATCACTATTTATCACTTCTTTACCAAACTTAACGTAAAACTTATGCATTGTTTGAAAAAAATATGGATTTGATTATTCTCATAATCTGTTGCCGAAAACTTGTTGTTTTTGTAACGGTTAACAGTAACTACCTGAATCCAAGCCACTAATGAATTGTTCCATTTTAACGCCCTCTATCTACGGTATCTAACTATGGCCTCCATTGCTTCCATTACTACGTGTAAGACTATTCACTTTCCAAAAACAACCATTAACTGTAATATAATAATAAGCAGCTGATACACAGTATGTGATGCGACTTGTAAAACGAATAATAATAATTACTGCAGCAGATTCTGTTTATCCATTTCAAGAAACCAAGGAGGTTTGTATAAGATACTTCTACAGGTTTACAAAACGAAGGAGAAAAAAGGAGACAATTCCATGTACGACTTTATAAATAATAATTATATTATTCTAATTTGTAAATCTTTCAATTTTTATAATTTTACATTTAAACAAAAAATTAAAACTATAAAAGTTTACTTCAGGTTACGCCTTTTCCATAGACGGTAATATTCCAATATATCTACATAAATAAATTGTCTGTTTAGCCAAAAAGTAATCAGCATTATTTGTAGCAAATTAGTACTATTCGACGACAGTAGTGGCACCAGGAGAAGGCATCATCCACCATCCACCGTCGGACAGGTCTGAACCCCGTCATCCAACGCCACGACAAGGTCGTCGGACAAAAAATATTAATTTGCTTTCCAAAACGGTATTTCCATTGAAAATCCCTAATATTGCAGTCTAAAAGCATACTTTTGGGCCAGGCTAAGCCATAAAATCTCTTCCAACCATATTAGGGATTTTTATTCCCGGACCCTGATTGGGGCGTATAGTCAGCCCCTTGGTTCGGGCCCCGCTGTCGGATATGACACCTCGTTGGAAAAAATTTATGGAGCTACCAATGCTATTCAACAAATATTAATTCTTCAATTTCTGATGTTTTTTTTGTTGTTTTTTTTTTTTTGTTATTTATTTTTTGACTTTCTATATTTCAATGTTTACTGTCCCACCGAATAATAAATTCTTGCCATGAATTATTTATACAAGTACAATTTACAAATAATAATAATGTTTTATTGTCTCCTTTTCATTTTGACAGAAAGCGAATACTAATAATTTTGGTTTTAACATTCATAATAATCATAATTTCATCCATCTATCTAGCTTAAAGACATAGGCAAAGACAACATATTAACTATGTAACTGAAATCCTAAACAACATTATTTTATAAATAGAATTTACCATCAATATACTGTAATTTATAACAACTTTATAAATTGGTGTGGTTGATTGTTGCTGCTGTTTTTGTTGTGCTGTTATTTAATTTGTAAAGCGGCTGTTGCGTTTGTGGTTGATGCAATAGCTACTGTCACTCATAAGTAGACTGTTATTGCGCTGCTGTTACCATTACTACACATTTATTACAATTACTATTACTATTAATTTTACTTTCGTTGTTGTTGGTTGATGGTGTTGCTGTTGCTGCTATTGCTGTAGTAGCTAGCAAAAATGCTGCTTTTGCTGTGTAGTAGTGCCAGTAACTAGTAGTAGTAGTAGTGGTAGTGGTAGTGGTAGTGGTAGTGGTAGTAGTAGTAGTTACGTAGTAGTAGTAGTAGCAGCAGAAGCGACAACTTTGTTAATTGTAAATGTCTTATTGTTTATATGTCAGTATGAGGTTAAATAATATCTACTGCAACCACCACCACCACTACCGCTACTACTACTACTATACTACTACTACTACTACCACCGTACTACTACTACTACTACCGTACTACTACTACTACTACTACTACTACTACTACTACTACTACAAGTATTAATACTATTTCAATAATATCATACTTTAGTTTACAGTCACACATTGACGAATTTGACCAAAATACAAACACTCACTCATTGTTGTAGATGAGATGTGGCCACCAGATTTGAGTAAGTTTTACAACAAACAATGTTGTTTCATTAAACTCAAGCGGATCCCAACTAAGTCTGGGATCTGTCCAAATCTGTTAAAAATCACACCCATAATATAAACAAAAAGTCCATTGAAAACGAAATATAATCGTATAGTATCCTACATAAGAGCATTTAATTAATAATTAGAAAATTGAAATATTGTTATTGTCAATTAGCATCATATACCTTGACAATAAAACATTATAGTACATTAAATGTACTGAGTATTCGGTACATTTCCACGTCAGGTAGGGCCAAAATTACACCTATACATGTTTCTCCTGACGCAAATCCAGTTTGGATTCCATCACGACAATAACAATTACTACCAAATATCATTGTTGATACATACATATTTTAAAATGATATACTCAATTTTTACTTTTTTATGGTAATCGTCAACATGTGTAATATATATAATAGGAACAGCCGAATTAATCAGGTAAACTACGGTATATAAAATATAATACTGTAGCAATTTAACTATTAACTATAAATTATTACACACGTGTAGTTAGGCTTTATCATGTGCGTCTAATACCAGTATGGACTGCCATGCGAAAACCTCTCTAATAAACTGCTACCTGTGTTACATTTTATGATAAGTATTATGTTATTGCCATGATATTTATGGAAATAGACAAATCTCATTCATGCATTGGTAAACACTGTCATGAATGTATCTACATTAAGTATGAATAACGTCATTTTGTTGAATGGTATGCTCAACTCCAATTACTTTATTATATACGTTATTGAGTAATGGAGTGTCTGCTGTAACAACTATCGCCTGTAGCAAATAATGCTTATTGGGTTTTCTTACCTGGTAAATCCACGAAACACCACTAAATACCTGGTGACGTTCATTCTAAACAAGTATACACAATGCAACTGATTAGAATACAGTATTATTATTATTATTATTATTATTATTATTATTATTATTATTATTATTATTATTATTATTATTATTATTATTGTTATTGTTATTATTATTATCATTATTATTATTATTAACAATATTATTATTATTATTATTATTATTATTATTATTATTAACAATATTAATTTTATGACTGGCGTGCACGTGTATTGCGTTTGGTAGGTTACCAGATTATAACGTGTTCAACATGATTATGGAATAGTCAGTAAAAATTATATATTTAATTTAAAATACAATGGTTTATAGATGTGCATTGAGTTCAAGTACACATAGCATGAATGTCACTCCGAAAACTGACAAGGCCATTTTATTCAAATACATTTCGCTTCTATTTAAGTTTCATCATGAATAATACATAATACAAAAGACACAAACTATATGCAATACAAATTACAATGTAAGTATATCCGCAACAAAGAACGTTTCAAAGCAATATGTCCTCCTTTTTAATAGACATTAACAGCATATAGGCCTAAATAGTCTGATTGAATTCAGTTGTAATTTTACTTAAATTCTAATTAATATCTATCCTAATGAGGCAATTATTTAATCAGAGCAAAGTAACGAGAACGTATTATTGATAATGAACAGTGCTGGGATAAGAGTAACAAATGTAGGCTCAAGTTATCAATGTGAGCAAAAAATAAATTTAAATACCGGAAATAAAAATTAAGATGACATTGTACATTTTTTTTAGAGTGACATTCATACTAATTGTTTATATCAAGTTGTATAATGTACAAATACATTTATTAACTTGATTATGCGCTATGCAAGTCTCCAACTATATTTACATTAGAATGAACAATAAACACTGCTTTAAAAACACATTAACATAATATGTATTATACAACCGTATGAAGTACTGTTGACTACAACATATATATATATATA